TTAAACTCAATAGGATTATGCCATGGATCGTGTAGGTGTCAGCCTATTTACACTCAACAGTATAATTCTAAAAACATTATAAATGACAAGTAATAAATAAAATACTAAACTCGCTCTCGTGTAAAACCAATTTTATGAAACTCGTGAATAGTTGTGGTATCTGACTCGCTTTCGCTCGTCAGATACCACAACTATTCACTCGTTTCATAAAATTGGTATTACACGGGAGCTCGTTTAGTATTCTATATATCTACATTGTAGATATCGCTGCAATGAAATTGCATCACAATGCTTTACAGACCACTGTGACGTCATTGTTACATGACGTCACAATCAAATGACATCACTAATGGCTCTGCTACTCAAGCTGTTAGCAGTACTTTTTACGCTAATGACACTGATTTTTCCTGTCTACAAACTGATAAAGTTAGAAGAATGATGTTGGATGATAAATAAAATCTCACCCTTGTGTCTTTTGATATCAAATATATCAACACTCGTTGATAAAAGTGGAAAATCTCCTCGGCAAGCCTCGGAGTTGTTCCAGTTTTAGCAACTCCGTGCAGAATAATCATGATAATAAATCGATATATCTAATGTTTAAACTTAACCTATCTCACACTATGCCTCGGAGTTTTTCCGGGGCGGTCGGGTAGCCCAGTGGTTAAAGCGTTCGCTCGTCACGCCGAAGACCCGGGTTCGATTCCCGACATGGGTACAATGTGTGAAGCCCATTTCTGGTGTCCCCCGCCGTGATATTGCTGGAATATTGCTAAAAGCGGCGTAAAACCATACTCAGTCAGTCAGTCAGTCGGAGTTTTTCCACTTTTATCAAATCGTGTTGATATATTTGATATCAAAAGACACTCGGGTGAGATTCTCTATATATCCCCTAGGACTGCCACGCCACGTCAGTCAATACATGAGGCCAGTTAGTTACCGTAAATATCTGTATAAAAGTGTATGCCTTGATTAGTTTACTGTCAAGAATATATTCTTGGTCTTTGTGGACTTTGCAAAAGGATTCTTATTATTAAGTAGAAAATCTGAACGATCCGTTCACTGTGTAAGCGGGCATTTCATTTTAAAATATCTACAATAAATTGGTCTGTATCAAAAATATATGAATACGTGTTTAATTACATGTTTATCACATTTATTGTAGTTTGTATATTTGTCAAGATGTTCTACTTGTATCTTAAATTTAAATATATATTAAATATTACTCACTCACTCGAATCATTACACGGTTGGTTACAAATATCGACGATTAAATATGGCATTCAGCCAGGACAATGAATACAATTTTCCTTGTGGCTCTGTTTGAGGACGTGGTTTCCTAACAGGGCCATGGGTTGTGATGAAATCACTTCATTTTAACTATTCCTGTACATTGGCCCAATTACTTCTAACATCTGTTCACAATTACACCAACATCGGGGGAGTGGTCGACCAGTCGCTTAAGGCACCGCAATTCGCTGAGGGGAGTTGCATCTCTAAGCCTGCCATGTTGGTTGGATGGTTGGTTTGTTGTGTAATGCTTCACTCAGCAATATTCCAGCTATAAGACGGCGGTCTGTAAATAATCGAGTCTGGACCAGACAGTCCAGTGATTAACATCATGAGCATCGATCCACACAATTGGGATCGATGACATACATCAACCAAGTCAGCGAGCCTGACCACCCGATCCCGTTAGTCGCCTCTTACGACAAGCATAGTCGCCTTTTACGGCAATCATGGGTTTGCTGAAGACCTATTCTACCCCGGATCTTCACAGGTTCTAAGCCTGCCAGGATCCGATGGGTTTGAATCCCAGAATCGCCCTGATTATGATCCCTGGGTTGTGAGCACCATACCTGTGTTCGTGGGTCTCACTAAGGTGATAAAAGTCTAAGATCTGCATCACTTCGGGCTTTACTCCCACATTAAGCTGACATGCTTGATATAACTGAACGACTCATTAACCCGTAAACGAAATAATACCCGCAGTGTGGCTTCTCCTGGGGTGGTCCGGCTGTATGTCGTAACACGGATGTCGTGGAGCGCTTCACGTGATATCAGTCACTGGTTTTCCAAGTTCAGACTGGATTATTTACAGACCGCAGTGAAATAACTTAAATATTACTGACTGCGGCGGTTAACAACATTCACTGTTCGCTCACTTGTAACTGTTTGTTGTGCTGTTTGCACACGACTCCGTAGAAATGGCAGGATGTGTAAAAAATACAAGAATCTCCCGATAACTTCATTCAATAGTGTTTACAGTAGACACTTCATTATATCTTGAATGAAACGCATTGACATTTTCACGTTAACAAAATACAATGTTATCCCTCGTTACAATCTCAAAATCGCAAAAAATGGGCAACCTCGTAAATACTTACAATTAGCAAAGCTCGCAAATTTGTTTTATTCATTTTCTATTTGTATTTTATCCCCGTCATTTTCAAAGCTGCTCAATTTATCCAACTGTGATTAGCAAAGCCATCAGGGTGAAACAACTGGATGTTACCAAGTGAAGGCTATTGTTGAGGTAACGGTCATTTACCTAAAAATATGAATTCTTGACAAAAATAATTATGCTTCAGACTGTTTAAAAAAAGGAAATCGCCTGTACAAAAATAGCATTGTTGCAAGGTGTTTTCTTTAAAAAGAATTAATGCTCATAGTAAAAAAATATACGTTTTTGTATAATCTCGATACAAAGTCCCAGGTCCTCCCCTAAATATCAAATGATGGGTCCCTTAGCAATGTAACGCTCAAAATATAGAGAGAGAACAGTGGGTAAACGCTAATTTATGCTTAGCAAAGTTACGTTCAAAGTATAGAGAGAGAACAATGGGTAAACGCTAATGCTTAGCAAAGTTACGTTCAAAGTACAGAGAGAGAACAGTGAGTAAACGCTAATGCTCAGAAAAGTAACGCTCAAAGTATAGAGAGAGAACAGTGGCTAATGCTTAGCAAAGTAAGGCTCAAAGTATAGAGAGAGAACAGTGGCTAATGCTTAGCAAAGTAACGCTCAAAGTATAGAGAGAGAACAGTGGGTAAACGCTAATGCTTAGCAAAGTAACGCTCAAAGTATAGAGAGAGAACAGTGGCTAATGCTTAGCAAAGTAAGGCTCAAAGTATAGAGAGAGAACAGTGGCTAATGCTTAGCAAAGTAACGCTCAAAGTATAGAGAGAGAACAGTGGGTAAACGCTAATGCTTAGCAAAGTAACGCTCAAAGTATAGAGAGAGAACAGTGGCTAATGCTTAGCAAAGTAAGGCTCAAAGTATAGAGAGAGAACAGTGGCTAATGCTTAGCAAAGTAACGCTCAAAGTATAGAGAGAGAACAGTGGGTAAACGCTAATGCTTAGCAAAGTAACGCTCAAAGTATAGAGAGAGAACAGTGGCTAATGCTTAGCAAAGTAAGGCTCAAAGTATAGAGAGAGAACAGTGGCTAATGCTTAGCAAAGTAACGCTCAGAGTATAGAGAGAGAACAGTGGGTAAACGCTAATGCTTAGCAAAGTAACGCTCAAAGTATAGAGAGAGAACAGTGGCTAATGCTTAGCAAAGTAACGCTCAAAGTATAGAGAGAGAACAGTGGCTAATGCTTAGCAAAGTAACGCTCAAAGTATAGAGAGAGAACAGTGGGTAAACGCTAATGCTTAGCAAAGTAACGCTCAAAGTATAGAGAGAGAACAGTGGCTAATGCTTAGCAAAGTAACGCTCAAAGTATAGAGAGAGAACAGTGGCTAATGCTTAGCAAAGTAACGCTCAGAGTATAGAGAGAGAACAGTGGGTAAACGCTAATGCTTAGCAAAGTAACGCTCAAAGTATAGAGAGAGAACAGTGGCTAATGCTTAGCAAAGTAACGCTCAAAGTATAGAGAGAGAACAGTGGCTAATGCTTAGCAAAGTAACGCTCAAAGTATAGAGAGAGAACAGTGGGTAAACGCTAATGCTTAGCAAAGTAACGCTCAAAGTATAGAGAGAGAACAGTGGCTAATGCTTAGCAAAGTAACGCTCAAAGTATAGAGAGAGAACAGTGGCTAATGCTTAGCAAAGTAACGCTCAAAGTATAGAGAGAGAACAGTGGCTAATGCTTAGCAAAGTAACGTTCAAAGTATAGAGAGAGAACAGTGGCTAATGCTTAGCAAAGTTACGTTCAAAGTATAGAGAGAGAACAGTGGCTAATGCTTAGCAAAGTAACGCTCAAAGTATAGAGAGAGAACAGTGGGTAAACGCTAATGCTTAGCAAAGTAACGCTCAAAGTATAGAGAGAGAACAGTGGCTAATGCTTAGCAAAGTTACGTTCAAAGTATAGAGAGAGAACAGTGGGAAAACGCTAATGCTTAGCAAAGTAACGCTCAGAGTATAGAGAGAGAACAGTGGGTAAACGCTAATGCTTAGCAAAGTAACTTTCAAAGTACAGAGAGAGAACAGTAGTATAGTACCGACTCTCCCCAAATTGTGAATCTTCTTTACAGCGTTCGACTAAAATCAAATTTATAATGCGTGTCTCTGGTAATAGAGTGCACATTATCTCAATATCATACATGTAACAGTTTCTGATTTTAAAAAGCTGGCACCATGGATATATAATAACAGAACATATCTTTTTAAAATACAGGAATATACCCGAAAATATAACCATACACCCATAAACCATTCTATGTATTTCAGAATACAAAAAGACAAATGAAAACAGGCGCAATGTTAATGAGTAAAGCGTGATCAGTATGCTAATGTAGCTACTTAGTCAAAATGACTGACATTTACAGAATGTGGTTTAATTATGTCTGTTTCTATAACCGTAAATAATGTATAGAGTTTTAAACAAGACACCTTGACCTGACCTGATGATTTCAAGACAGCCCATTTACTACACGACACTGGTTCCCTGTGTGCGACTTTATTTAGTGTGACCCGGTTCAGCCACGCCCACCTTTTATGACAAGAGTTATCTGCCCATTCACTGCTTCCGGTAATAGGACATCATATTGATAGGTACGGTTGTGTTCATTTTCCTCGACTAAATCAATATGCGGCTTTTGATATTTTGCATTGAAGCGAGGAACGACAGCATTGAGTAACCGGTTTAAATACCACTACCAATTGTGATATTCAGTGTTGTGACACGAACGCTTCAGCTAGTCTATACTCTCACAATACCGAGCGACAATCACTGGAAGGCTCTGCTCACAACTCGCTCGGCAAGCTGCGAACAGGTGATCATCCTTCGAGTAGCGAGACACCGGGTTAAGTGAGAAAGCTTAGTACGTGACGGACGTTACAGGTAGTGTGTTTACATTGATGTCGAAAATGTGTTTGCCAGTGTGTATATTCTCATTTATGTTAATGAAACTAAAAGACAAAGTTAGCATGCTTATAACAAAAATTGTGCTTTAAACCATCAGTAATTTAGGCTAATTCTTTGATGAAATGGCATTGAATTCCTGACAAATTTTATTTGCAAATCAAGTGAATTTTCATTACTTATTGACACAAATGACAGCATATTTTCTAGAATATTTTTCAAGCATTCAGTGTCATAACCCTAATGTTTTCTTGTTGGCATCAAATTACTGTAGCAGAAAAAAACTCGAGGACCCCAGGGCCGCACAGGAACTCGTTATTGGTCAGTAAATAAAATATATACCCCCTGAATGTAAGTAGTGAAGGGGTATTATTTTTATTTACTGACGAATCACAAGTTCCTGTGCATGGCCGTCGTATATTTCTAATACTTCGTGAATCGTCATGATTTGTCATTACAGCAAAGTATGCCTTTTTTCAGACGAATCATTCATCTATTAAAATCAGTACAGTTACTATAATCATTGCTGAGGTTCATGTGCTTTCCTAGAATAAGATCAGTGTCAAAGAGCCTGATCTAGTTAGGAATTAATATTATCTGTTTTCTTGAAATGTTAACATGGTTAACATATGATGCCTGATGCATCTGTATGGTGAGTGTGATGTTGCTGATGCTGTCAAGCACTGGTTGGACTTGACTGTGATACAGCTGGAATCGCTCTCCGTCTAGTACTAATTGTATGTATACCCCCAGTACACTGTATGGATTCTAGGTCAGAATAGGTCCAAGCCTAAAAAAGCCAGGCCTTTGAAGATGTGGACATATGCATACAGGATGATCCACACAATACTGTTGGGTATTATCATTCACAATGAACTGAAGGGTGTAGTATTTTCTGAAATATAACTGCTTATTATCTAGCCTCAGTGACACGATATTAATGTCAGCAGATTGATCACAAGTATTCTAGTTGGGGTACTTACATTCCAAAAGGCACGCTGAAACATCTTCATGAGTGTCCTGTGACACGTGTGGTGAAATGAGGTGCAAGATTTTTGCACCTATATAGCGTGTGTGTTTGTGTGTGTGGCTGCTTGTACTAGTTTGGACTGCTGTTGATGTTATAGTGCTAGCTCACTGAGATACCATGCCGCAGTTTAACATGGATACCCCACACAGACACAAAATACTGACTCTGAGCCGACCAGTCTTTGTTTTTGCCCCTTAATGCTGAGCACTAGGCAGGGTAAGACACAGAGGCGGCTGGCACACTTGAAAACATGTGCATTTCTATCCCCGACATTCCTATATCTAAACCCACCGCCAAGAGAAACACGAAATTATAGAAACATATAGAGAAGTATGTACATTAAGCAGAATTGTCCAAATGTGTACCACTTAATGACAAAACTTACAATCAGTCAAGTGTTACCACAGTGACTTTATTCTTATCACGATATGCTGCACGTGATTTCCAAACTTTACACACTAATCCTGCATGAGACAAATGGTGCATCTCGAGTCATGGATCTATGATGTCAAATGTGATGTCATGATCTCTCTTGAATATTATGAGTAAGTCTTCATATACCGTATTCGATGTAAAAAGCGCCCAGGGCACCTTCAAAATTAGAAATAGGGGGCTCTTATAAGAATATAATTGTGGTGAAAAAAACAGAGTTGAAAGATAAATTTTGTGGTTTATGCTAACAGCCTGAAATGTTTATGTACGACAGATATATTTTCCAGAATTTAATTGGCAATAATTGCCTATAATTAAGGGTGCATATAACACACGAATGCGTACTATATGTGAATAAATAAGTCTTGTGTACAATGATAAATCAGAAGGGGTGCTAATTGGGATTGTTCACAAGCCAGTATATTAGCAAATATCGCCACAGGTGCTTATTACGTTGAATACGGTATTGACCAACATGTATGATATTCATAGTTCTTTTGATGGTAAGTATTGAGATTGATTGACATCACTGACTCCTGTCATAAGTGTTCTCAACATGTGGCTATTGAATATTGGTTTTCTTGACAATACATGTGGATTGATTCTATTTGCAGGTTTAACAGCTGTCAACACCTTGCACATCACTAACATCTCTGTGAGTGCAGCAGTCACAGCAGTTTATGGACCGTGACATTGAGAGTTGACGCAGCTGATTTTGAATGTTGCGAGGACCAAGATCAAGCACAAAAGACAGCACAGCAGTGAGGTGAAACACCTTTTCCAGTTATGAGATGATAGATATTTGGTGTTTTGCTTTTGTGGATGGCCGCTGAAGAGACAGACATTGAAAAAGTGGACATTGTGAATATCACAGACTTACTTTGATATCTTCCTGGAAGTCTTTGGAAGAGTGGAGAGCAAATTATTAAAAACATTTTTTAAGAATTTGTATTCCGATCTTCCTACAAACCATATTCCAGTGTTAGAAATTGGCGCTAGTCCTGTAGTCCGTGCCAAACAGCACAATAGTTAAGGTATCATAAGGACTAGTAAAAAAAAATATTTCTAAGGGCTTGCTACATGTTATCATTATAAGGCCTAGTAGACTGAAAATGTTAGTTTCTACCGCTGTCGTTCCATACAATATTGTACAAGCATGACATATTGTTCAGAAACCAATTAAGCGATGGTTACAAAAATTCATAAAATTAAACCAAAGACCCTTCCAGCAAATATTTCTGTTCAAACTTTAACCATTTAATTCTCAATATTCTCACTAGTACATATTTGACCACCAGATGTATAGCCAAATTGAGCAACTTTAGGGAGAGTGTTCCCGAAGTGATCGGAACCTTTTATCGGGGTTTTCTACTTTTGGACTTGTTCAACTGTGGCACCAAGATGTATGTGTGTGACAACTGTTCCACTGTGAGGATTCTGAAGGTGTTCCTAGTGATCTGCCTGTCTCTAGTGTTGCTTCAATACCTCATCAATCTTGCCACCTACAGCTATGTGACCAAGTTCCTCAAAGATGACAGCTATGGTAGTCATAACCGATCAGCTATTGGACTGTTTTTCCCAGATGTGTCAGACTTTTTCAAGAATTTGCAATCAGTTCAAGAAAAGAATGTGACAAGAAGTGCATCAGAGAACTTGACATTGCCATCAGAACCTGCCAATATGACGGAAATTGTGACAAACATTCCTTCTGGAAAGGACGATATTGGGAATCTCTGTCCGTTGGTTCCACCGACACTAGGTAAGTAGAGATTGATTAACTATTGGGCGGTATCAATACAGTAGACTATATTTATAACGAACATGCTTGTAACCATGGATATAATGATATAATGGATATAATGGATATAATGAAATTATATTATGGCCCCGTCCAATTGCTGTATATATGCTGTAAAAGTGCTTATAACGGATTACGGTTATAACGGTGATATTGGGTTCAACGTCGCGTCCAAGATTATTGCACTTATATAGCGATGTGCATGCACGTGTGTGTGTGGCTGCTTGTACTAGTCCGGACTGATGCCGATTTATAGTGCTAGCTCACTGAGATACCATGCCGCAGTTTAACATGAATACTCCACTCAGACACAGTATATTGACTCCGAGCCGACCAGTCCTTGAGTGCCGAGCGCCAGACAGGGTAACAACAAGTACCATCTTTTAACGTCTTTTGGTATGACGCGGCCAGGGATCGAACCCCGGACCTTCTGCTCTCCGGGCAGACGCTATACCACTAGGCCACGGAGGCGGTCCTTTTTACGTAGAATATGGTATGTCTTGTGTGTCTAGAATGAGCGAAAAAGGCTCAGACAAGACTTTTGGCTAAATTGAGGATTCAGTCCATCCCTCTTATATTTATAGGGGGCACGGGGGGCCGATTCGTCTAAGGTGGAATTACTGGGCTCGATTGTAGCGCCACCAGTGGCTATTACCAGCTATGTCCCTTCTAAGCCTCTCCTATGGATCAATCAGATTCCATCTCTCGTATCACTTGCGTTTGCTTCAAACAAAATGGTTGCACCCGGTCAGGACGATCTGAGCGATAATCAAGATCTAAATTGTGATAAAATGGGTCTTACATCGCGAAATGCATCAAATCATGTGAGCACCTTGATTAAAAACATGAAAAGATTTGGAAAATATCTGCTGACGAGTTGGCGGTGCACATGCTTTGCAAATCCTGCAATCAACCGAAATCTGCACGACAGTTTATGAACCGGATTTCGGTGCACGATTTTGATTGGACTATGCATTGACTCGTTAGTCCAGCCAAAATGTAACTCCATAATACCAGCCTAGTTCAGCAAGGGTGGAAACTGCACTTTTATAGTCAGTTATGTCTCTTGCCTCGGAAAGATGGCCAGAAACCTATGATTGTGGGTTTGAATCCCGGTTTGTCAGCACCATACCCATGCTCGTGGGTTTCGCCGAAGTGGTAAAGGTTTGGTAAAGACCTGCATCACTTAGGGCTTTCCTCCCACATTAAGCTGACACGCCGTGATATAACTGGAGATAAGTGGCGTTAAACCCAACTCTGGAAAAAACATTTTGTTTTTATTATTTCAAACTGACGAGTTCATCACAGCAAAAAATGTGCATGCAGGATGTTAAACTGCAATACAGATGATGCAGGATAAGCTGACAGCCCTCACATTCAGAGAACTTTCTGAATAACAAATAAATAAATCTAAGATGTCTTTTCTGGGCTTACCAGTGCTTACTAACCAGAATGTTTTTTCAAAGAATCTGCAAGCCAAGAAATAGAAATTAGTCTGGCTATATATGGCCTCAAAGTTTATTTTTTTACCAAGTAGCCATGTAGTTTTTCCAGGTAGCCAGTGGTAAAATTAAGTAGTCAAGTCAATAGTGTAGGTAGCCAAAAGCATTTGACATGATCTTTTATCAAATAACTACTAGATGTACAAATCATAGCACTAGTCTTGGAATTGTATATTAGTGGAAACTGTACCTGAGTTTTGTTATAGGTACAAAACTTATGTTGCTTATCCAATAAACTATAATTAAATTTTCGTTGTGTTCATTGAAATTCCTGCATTTTGATTAGCTGAATTGGTCACGTGTTATTGCATTCATTTCCCAATGGATTTAGAAAAATTAAGCCACGCCCACCGAGGCGGACTACTTTTATTACTACGGAATGATTACTACGCTGATTCCTACAGTTTTCACATCGGTTTTTCAATTCAAACCTCAATGAACCGAAAAAAATACAGTCAATCCTTAAATCAACTAAAATAAAATACTCATTACATCAGTACATTAAGATTTATGTATTTCGGTTCATTGTTGACTTTAGGAGGAATTATTAGCGTGTCAGTACAATTAGTAGCAGACACATTTATTTTTGTGTCTACATGTGTGTAGCAATAGATTTAAGTAGCCACAAGATATTTTTCAAGGTAGTCATTTGGCTACCTCTGAATTTTAGACAGTAGACAAATTAAAATTTATATCGCATTGGCGACCGTTTTAGTCGCAACTTTGAGGCCTGTATATAGGACCGTATACCTGAGTGTTAAGCTGGTCTGTGACTTATGATGATCATGATGATACTGTTTGAGCTCTATAAAATGAATGTCAGCAATATCAGCTGTTCTGTGTTCTTATCATGTTTATCGATAGTTTCAACATGGTAAACAATAAAACTGGTGTAGAGTTTTTTAATCCAGCAACAGGTTTTGTGGTATAATCTATCTAAAGATATTGTTCACTCCTTGTGATGCTAAAATAATTTGTGTTTTCAGTGTCACAGCTGTTAGTCATCAATTTCATCCTGTTATCAATTTCATCCTGCTATTGGCTGGATATTGCTGAGTGCAGCGTTAAACAACAAACAAGCTTATATTTGATGCTGATGTTTCAACCTACAAATAGATTTACGATTTGGTGTGGACGTTGCCAGTGATATAAGATTAAAACGTCACTGGCATGTGTGGTGGATATGTTTATCACCTTTGTGTGTAAAGTTTGGTCTGACATTGGCCAAAAATTATCATTTGGGTCAAGTTGGCAGGTCAGTGTATGTCCCAGGCCCGAAAATACCCAGTGTTTATGCGAGACAAATAGCATTAGGATATTTACACTTTATCACATTTTGTGATGTTCTTCCATATCATTTCCAACTTTGGATAAAGTCTTTAAGACAATCTTTAGGATAATTAAGTCTATTTATGAATATGATCAGTAAATGTGCTTGAAAATGATCCGATCTGAAACCCCATAATATACTGAAAAACAAACGCAAAGCTGTTAAAACAGTGTCTCTAAAGCAAGGAATTTCAGACCAATTTTATTTATTATTTTTTTTAAATGTAACAAAATGCTTGTGTTCAGACTAGATGAGTTTGTTTACTGTATGACATCAAACATGCTCATTATTTCGACCACCTGCTTGTGTGTGGCAGACTTGTTTACTCTTGTCTTGGCTGCTATGGCTGGATTATTGCTGACACAGCATTACACAACAAGCTACTAAGACCGAACAGCATTAAAAAGTTACACAATCCCTAAGAACAGGATTAAAACTGGCGTTGGAATTATTTTTGACATAACTGACCAGTTGTGTCTTGTCGACCCTGATAGCTTGACAACAAGAACCACTGAATGACCTTGACATTGGTAATAATGATATCGGGACTAAATTTCAGTTTACATACAAAACAACAAGCTGTTTTATCGCCAAGGTCATGACGTGTATGAGGTGCGAGCATGGTATGTGACACCAGACCCAATTTGGCCCACGTGGACAAGTCGGTATGGGAATGACATGCTAACGTGAAGTGATTATCCATTCCCAGAACATGCTTACACCTGTGTGTTCAATAAATTGATTAGATCTCATTTGGTAACCATGGCAATTGTGCAGTGAAAGGTAAACATTGTCACTGCTGTTGGATTTCAATAGTTTTTGCAACAAATGATGTTTGATGGGTCTTTTTAGGAATATTTAACTAAGTGTATTTGAAATAAACTTGCTGGGACGCTGGTTTACAACTACGGGTGGTAGGGTATCCTCGTGGTCAAAGCATGAAGGGTCATGTTAAACTCCCCACGTGGGTAATGTATGAAGCCCATTTCTGGTGTCCACCCGCACTAATATTGCTGGAATATTGCTAAAAACTTCGAAAAAACACTCACTCTCACTGTTTTCAACCACACTGACAGCTTCTACTGTCTTGTGGATAAAGCGTCTCCTCAGAGAGTACAAGGTCGATGGTTCAATCACTGGCCACACCTTACCAAAAGATGTTAAGAGGTGGTACTCGGAATTAAGGGACTAAAACAAGGACTGGTCGGCTTGGAGTAGTCCAAACAGCCACACAAACATACACACGTACATGCACGTCGCTATATAAGTGCAATACTCTTGGACGCGATGTTAAACCCCATTTCACCTCACCAACCGCTTGCGTTACGGCAGCTGTGTTTATGGTAGTCATGTGGCAGACATTTCCAAATTTCCATGAGTCTGGACTAGTAGAAGTAGCTGTAGTAGTTTGTTGTTGCATATAGTTTGTCTTCTCATCTAACATACTTAAATATAAGGGACGAACTTGTCTTGGTCAGCCTTTATGAAGTCCAAAATCCGGGATCACATCCGACCACCAAGCTATTTTTTGTGTAAATATTATATATACACCTTGAATCTTGGTTTCTTGATTTCTATATAGGGAGAGATGTTAACATGGTTAAAATAAGTGCGGTCTTGTTTACCAATCCCAATTTTCAGTTAATCAAGATCTAAATTGTGCTAAAACGTGTTTTACATCTTGAAATGCATCAAATCATGTGAGCACCTTGATTAAAAACATGAAAAGATTTGGAAAATATCTGCTGACAACGAGTTGGCGGTGTACCATGTGTACATGCTTTGCAAATCCTGCAATCAACCGAAATCTTCACAACAGTTTATGAACCGGATTTAGGTGCACGATTTTGATTGGACTATGCATTGACTCGTTAGTCCAGCCAAAATGATATGATAATATGTTTAAGCATCAGACAGGGAGAGAGTTAATAAAGGGAAGCATGGTGGGCATTCAAAATAACAAGCCACACAAGCATTCACTTGATGCACGTCTGTATGATAATCTTGAACGAGACGTTATAAAGTTTCTTCCACCTTACTTCACTAGGGAATTTCGGAGAATATACTGCCGGGCAGAGGAAAGAAAACGCTTGGAAATTCACGCTTCACTCTGCCTATTCTGTGTACTG